TTTTTGAGCTCATTGTTCGTCATGGTTATACCTATGATTTCCCACACAAGTTAGTAACACAGAAAAAAAAAGATATTCCAAAAATAAACCTGAATATATAGCTAACACTGTTTTAACTCCCCGGTAATGGTTCCAAATATTGATGACATCCACAACACACCTCAATAAGAGACATGATACAGTCGTATGCAATAATAATTACCCAAATATAAGTCAGGGTCAAATCCACTAGGAGTTTTAAGAGGTGCCAGGACTATGTATTTGAAGCAAGCTAATGGACTACCTAAGATTGCACTTCCACAATAGAGGTTTGATTTATACTTCTACTATTACTCTAATGATAGCAAGCTAAGGTAAATAGACTAGAGATGAATGTTTATTATATTTTACCAAATAGTTTAAAGTCCTAGGGATGTGACCATAACCTAGGTGTTTGCCTAATAGGATAAAGATGTTAACACTTGTTTTGTTGATCGGGGTGTATTATAGCTCTCAACTCTACGTTACCCACTCACTACCTCTCGGTCAAAGACTGATTTTGCCCAATTTGGCTTTCTCAAGTCCAAATGGATGTCAAGCAAAATAGTAGATATGAGCTCAATTCGGGTTCTTACTATCTCTAGTTTGAACCCTTTAATTAGGCTAATCAATCTCTCAATTAACCCCAATTCCTTGTTAGCCAAGTTATCCTAGACTAGGTCCCTCTTTCTCAAGTAGAGAACTAAGTCAAATAGGCATTAATCAATGTTTGCAACCATTAATTCTAAACTTAAAGCATGAACTAAGCTAAATAATCAATACTCAATCATAAATAAGCATTAAATTAAGTACCCATAAGGTTTACACACTAGGGTTGGGTCACAACCCTAGTAAAAATCTAGCTACTCATAATGAGAATTGAAGAAAATAAAGAAGAAAAGCTATTTAAACTCATAATGAAAGATTAAAATGATGAAATCTAATGTTTAAACACTAAAATAATGTCAAATTTCCTGAAGTAGTAAAAAGAAACGGCTACAGCAGCTTTTAATGTTCAAACTTGACCTAAATTTGTAAAACTCGTCTATTTATACAGGGCCAAAAATCACAGACAAAAATGCCCCTCATGAGGTTCTGCGGCCGCACAATTCCATGTGCGGTCCGCAAATTTCTTCAGCTGGCAGGAAGGTGAGTTTTGCAGCCGCACAATTTTGGATTGTGGCTGCGAAGCAACTTCTGTGGCCGCACAATTCTAGTGTGTCCGCACTTCACAAAGGCGTCAGGACTTGGTCTTTTTTGCATATTCTCTAAACTTTGAATCTTTATCAATGAAAGCCCAGTTCTGTAGCCGCACAACTTATGTGCGGTCCGCACATTGCTGAAAATCATGTTGGGTTCTGCTGCTTGGTTTGCGGCCGCAGATAGAATTCTGCGGTCCGCAATTTCTTCTGTGGCCGCAGAATTCCTTCTGCGGACCGCACATCTTTCCTTATCCGCATTTTATTGCCTTGTGATTTGGAACACTCTTTTTTAGTCGTGGAAGACCAAACTTCCAGTATTCCTGCAATTTACACAATTTTATTTATTTTGGGAACACAATTCAATACTTTCAACTAAAGCAAAATCTAAAATATGCTAATAAGCAATTAAAATCCCCACTTATTAGTGTTGTGAGAAGGCTGAAGTCAAGTGTTGGGCTTGGTTGCCTCACATGCGGGATTTGATAGACAGAAACCACGCCCGTGACAACTGGGATCAGAGCGTTACAGATTCATGATAGAGACACGACGAGCAGTGGCAGATTTTGTGGCCTTGTTTGAGAACATGGCATGTGGTAACAATGAACTACGGGAAAAGCTAACAAAACTGGAGGCATTGATTGGTAATGTCCCTGAAGGTGACGAATTTCAGACTCTCATGACAAGGCTTGCCTACCTCGAGGCAAAATTGGCAAGGCTATGTCAAGAGAATGCAGATCTGAAAAGGGAGACAGTGATGTTGCACATGCTATGGGCGAGGATGTTCCTCAATGTGGTGCTTATCGTCTCAAGGTAAAAATTCCAGAACCTAAGGCATTTGGTGGTGCAAGGAGTGCACGTGAATTGGAGAATTTTGTTTAGGATATGGAGCAGTACTTTCATGTTATTTGTGTGCAAGATGAGAAGGAGAAAGTAACCTTGACTAGCATGTATTTGTGTGAAGATTCTAAGTTATGGTGGCGCACTCGTGTAGCTGAAGATGAAAGTCTGGACAGACCAAAGATTGAGTCGTGGGAGCGGCTTAAAAAGGAATTGAAGGATTGCTAGGGATACGTCATGGATTGCTAGGGACAAGCTGAAAAGTTAAAACACACCGGATTAGTGAGAGCCTATGTCAAACAATTCACTTCTTTGATGTTAAGCATAAGCAATATGTCGAAAGAAGACAAATTGCACAACTTCATGAGCGGGATGCAACAGTGGGCACAATTGGAGTTATGTAGGCAGAATATTCAACACCCCGCAAGTGATATGGCTGCGGCTGATGCATTGGGCGATTTTCACTTGGGTAAAGAGACTTCTGCTTCAAAGTCCAACGACGGAAAGAAGGACAAGGCAAATGAGTAAAAGAAAAGTGAAAATAGTAATGCTAATGAAGACAAGGGGAAGGGAAAGCAAGAGGCTTGAACTTCAAAGAGAAAGGAGAAGGGCATCAAATTCAGTGGTTGTTGCATTTGTGATGGGCCACATCGAGCAAAGGACTGCCCAAAGAAAGCAGTGTTAAATGCTATGACTGTCGCGGATAAGAGGGCTGCATTGGAGGCAATGACCAATGACAAAAAAATGGTTGGTGTCAATGCAATTGTGGCTGATGAGAGAGGAGGCCAAGGGGTGTTGCTTGCCAACCCCTTATGACTCATTAATTGAGCTAAATCGACAAGGACGTCGAGTTTCAAAGGGTGCGGGTGGTTTGTTAGTGCTCCGCCTCTTTGAGCTTAACTTGACAACAAGAGTATTTTCATGGGGCAGCAAAGAGTGTTGCCAAGCTAAGGTGCACAAGATAGCACCAAGGCAAAAAACGGGCAAGTGATGGCCAAGGCTTTGAGGGAGGCAAGGCAGCTTGGCAAGGGCTTGACAATGAGATGCCGGCCGAGGGTAATACTTGATCATGGCAAAGGCGTCAAGGCATAAGGCAGTGATGCCAAGGCAAGGGAAAAATGAAGTGGGCAAAGGCAGGCTAAGTGCAACGAAGATATGAGCGCGAGCCAGAATTGTCATGACATTGGAGCGCGACAAAGGGCCATGTGCGTGGGCAATGGTATAGGCTAAATGTGGCTGAAATGCACTTGAGAACAAGGCATTGGCGCCTGATTCAAGCCAAGCCACGCACAAGGGCAGCAAGCTTCAGATTGACTAAGTCAAAGGCAGTTACACGACACATGCTGTGCACATGGGCAGCAGTTGGCTTTGGCTAAAAGCTGGCAGATTATGTTAGCACGTTTTTGGGGCCATGTTTCCATTATATTAGCATGATCTACATGATCATAGTAGTTGGGGGATGTCAACTACACTAGGCTAAAATAGTGAGTTGTGTGGAACAAGTGTCTAAGCCTAATTGTGAGAAGTGTAAGGCAAAGGGGTTGTCTCGTGTTTTATAAATGGGCAGCATCCGTATGCTTGTGGGGAAGAAGAGAAAAAACGTGTATGAGTGCATGTTTGAGTTAGGAAAGAACTCCTAAGTCTATTTTCAAGAGTGAAAACATCTAAGGCTAAGAGTAGTCTTATCAGAAAATCTAAGGGTCAAGAGTGATCTTCTTTTGTACACGGTTGTACTTTGAGTTTGAGTTTCTTTGTATGCTCGAGTTAAATACAAAATTGGGAAAAGAGTTTCCTATATATTGTGTCTTGTGCTCTTGTTAATTTTCTGTTGCCTTTACTTAAATTCGTGGCCTAAATCAGTCCAAAAACTTACTACGCTGAAGCTACCTAAAAATATTTTAAGTCCAAAGTTGCTGTAATTTTGGCCGAGTGTTGTGAGAAGGCTGAAGTCAAGTGCTGGGCTTGGCCGCCGCACACGCGGGTTTTGACGNGCGCGCCCGGCACACATGTTTTGGCCTTGTGTGTCCATAACTCAAAATAGGTGACCTAACGGCCGCCGCCCGACTAAACATACCAATAGTCACCAGATTCATATGAGCTACTGAGGAGTAAGCAATGATCTTCTTAAGATCGATCTGCCTTAAAGTGGTCGAGGAAGTATATATTATAGCCGAGTGTTGTGAGAAGGCTGAAGTCAAGTGCTGGGCTTGGCCGCCGCACACGCGGGTTTTGACGGACAGAAACCACGCCCGCGACAGTATGTATGGTGCACTGATGGATGCCTTCAAAGACGAGGGATCGAATGCCTTCAAAGACGAGGGATCGAGTTAAATTTTAGAAAACGAACAAAGACACTCGTCGAGGACCTAACTAACATATTTTTACAAATTAATGGCTTAGTTTGTGATAGACTTGAACTTTCTTTCCAAAGTTTTGTTGAATTTAATTGAAAATTATATTTTCATCACGGATCAACTAGTTGAGAATAAATTTTAGTCTTGTGAGAGAATTTCTAGTAAACTCATTATTATTATTATTATTATAGTTATTTATATAATTTTAGCTTAATTTTTTATTTTTTGGTATGATATAAAATGAATTAAACTTAAATGAAGTAGTAACAATTAATATAGCCAATCCAAACTTTTTTTAAAAATTGAAGTGCAATTGTTATTGTTGGTGTTTATATTCCAGCAGTCAGCACACCTTCTTGACCACTCATATCTTTTAAGAATCTATTGCTGACATGTACCTGAAAATCTTTAAAGAATTATAGAAAGTATAAAAACAAATCCTCTACGTAGTGGATGCATGCATAAGTGCTAACGATAATTCAGTAGCCTTACCAAGAATTGATCATCTTATTTCTTACTAGTGGTGTGTGCCCGTGCTGCGTATGCCCGACATCAAAGTTCATTTTAGTAGAGATCATTTCTAAAGCTGGTTTACAGCTTTTAAAGTCGGTTTTAAGCAGAACAGACTTGAAAATATGGCACTCTTTGAAGATTATCCTTCCTTATCTTTGATGAACTAATCATATTATATGTTTACCTAAGCTGTCCAAATGCAGAAATAGTCTGATGAAATTACATTCTTCCGCTCATTCTCATTTTCTCATTGCGGACTGAAATTTCACAAAGTAAATCAACTGATTCCCAGACTTTGCAGCCCTTAAGAAAAGCAAATGGGAAACCATCTGAAAGAACATAAACAAAGATATCAAATATGAAAATCGGATATACATAAAACTAAAAGGCTGACAATACAGAACTCTCTTGCTTACCTGTAAAGGTCTTCAGAAAGATTAGGTTGAGCACTGAAAGCAGCTTCTGAAACATTTAAAACATTCAATTGCTTCTCTCTTCTTTGTAGAAGTTGAAATCAAGAATTCACCTGACCATTCTTTAGACACACCGATTGGCGCGACTAATGAATCACATAGGCAAGATTTTTACATCAAGCAGGAGAATAGCGTCCTCCCCGTCATAAAGCTTAAAGCTTAAGACATGGTTGACACTATCGTTCCATCCGAGCAGCGAAAATTTGCAGTAGAGACGGGTCATGCACATATAGACCAATCACGAATTCATGATCTTCCAGTGGCTGAGTTGTTATGGTTTCTTTCTTTTCCACGTTTGAAATTACTTCTTGAATTTGCTTATCAGGCTGGCTGAATCCCCCACTGTGTTATGCACAAGAAATGCTCAAGCAAAATAGAAAGGATAATAGAGGTAAATTACCTCAATTCTCAAGCATATGGTATTTCCCCTCAAGTTTAAATACATTTAGTTTCTCAAGCTCCGCTAAGATTGGCATGAACAATGGTATCTCAACTACACATACATTATGCATAAATGAATGTGATATAACCATTACTTCATGATAGACGACATAGTTAGAAGCATCTCGTCCTCATTTGCTTTTAGCGCAGAAGATGGATGAATCTGCACAAATCAAATAGCTATTTGAGATTTGAGAATTAAAAAACACCAGTTCAAGTATAAAACCATAATAATGGCCAAACATAAAAAGAGACTATGGAGTACCTACACCATATTTAAAGTTCATTTTCAAACTACAGATGAAACTTGAGCACATGGCCTCCCCATAAAAGGACCAACATAACAAAGTACCACTGTGAAAGAGTAATTATCTGTATGAGTTTAGGCCTGAAACCAAGAGTTTGATACCTATCATGTCAAACCTTCCGTTCAGCAAGCTAATTTGCATAGTCAATGCACATTGCTTTCCTCATTTTTAAGAAGGTAAAAGTATTTGTATAAATGAAGCAACACTAAGAGTGATGTGAGAACTGTACAAAAATACACTAAGGGGTTGTAGCATCTCTAGAATTGATTCAGCCTAATTTACATGTTCCCTACTACTCCAGAAGCAAAACAAAGCTATACAAATATATTTCAGCTTCTGGATATTGTTTGCATCGTTTTCCAAGGATCTTCGATTTTTTTGTCCAAACAGTCCACCAAATAATGCTAGAATAGCGTGTTCACGCTAGTTCTTCTTCCTCCTTGTCAGCCCTTTTCTACCCCCAACACTTCACTACTTCAGCACTCAGTAGTTTTTCTTGCATGACCCACTGCATGCCAAATAGCACTAAAGAACAAGCTCCATATTTGATCAGTGATGCAACAGTGCAAAAGTAATCTATCAATAACTTCAACATGCTTTCAACATAAAAACACCTACTGCACAGTACTTTTTTCAGTAAATTTTCATGTGTAAGACATATCCTCAAATTTTTATACTCATTTGGCTGCCTCACTGTCTTTTGCTTGTTTGAACATCTAATGAGCCTAGTTTAACAAGACAACATAGAGTGACATTAGGAGATTGATTTTCTCAAAAACATTATAGAGGCACCCATGCACTTCCCAAAACCAGAAACTAAATACTAATTTAAGGGAGATTTCGAAGTTAATTGCATAGTAGACTACAGATGTTGGATTATGATGTTTAAGAGAAAAGGACAAGTTAAAATTCCTCCCAACAGCAAAATCAGAAATGACTCTTATTTACCAATAGTTTCTATTTTAAAAATTCTAGCAACATAAACCATTACCTTTAGCAATGTTTTACATTATTTGGTCAAGAATGAATAGAATCTAATTATACCATTCCACTTATGTGTAATTGCATAAAAAGTTAAAACGACTTCAAATAATAGTGGAAAAAACTACCTGTAAGTTGTTCTCTTTACACCAGTCTGTGTTGTAATCAGTCTGATACCATTTCTCACAAATTTAAAGTAACTGGAGTGATCACCCAAGCCCAGAACCATCCAACTTGAGCCACAACAAACTTTCTCCACCTTTATTTTAAGTCATGTCTTTCGAAAAATGGTTCGAGTTATAGTAGCACTATCTCATACATGAGCTCTGGCCTTTTCTTCCCTGGTGCTTCACGGAATAGCATATAGTTGTAATTCTCATATAAAAGGGAAAATAGATAAGTATTAGTTGAAAGCAACATTTTGGTAACAAATCTAATTGAGTTATCTAGTACATCAGCTATTGCCTTAATGTTAAGTATTTCTTCCTAAAAGATCACTAGGAATATAAATAAACCCAGCCAATATTTGTAATAGGAACGACCACAACAATTTGCAAATTCAACATTTGATAAAGCGAGAAATCGACATATCAGAGTGCAATTTGTACCAGTTCATCTTAAACCTTAAATTTAGGTAGAATAGATTATGTGTATTACTCTAAAACAATGATAGCTCCTTGCTGTCTTTGACAGTGTATTTTCAAAACATCACAAAAGTCATAAGCTCATGCTACGAACAATTCATAAATTATTTAGATGATCCAAACTTTCTAAAGAAGTTTGACTTGCACGACAGCACTCATAGAAGTATTAGATCGTCCAAACCTGAAAAGAGAAAAGGATAAAAATACGTGCTCAAAAAGTATATCCATATTTGCACATCCAAGCAACATCAGATGAACAGAGGGAAACGTTCGCCATAATTTCTGATAAATTAGGTTACCCTGTAAGAGTTCCATAAATTTTTCAAACTCCTCTGGAAAAATTCAGTGCTGAGAGGCAGAATTCAGTAAGCAATAACGTCCATGAAACAAAAGGTTACCTGCGAGAGCTTAATCAATTAATAGTTTGAATAAACACTACTATGACCTAACTCCTAACATTTTATCAGCGTAATTTGATACTGTAAAAAGATTAATATGCGGGATTTGCAATGAAACTCACAAAAAAATGCAGTATGCTCACCACGAAGTTCATTACAAGACAAAGCAACAGTACCGAATACATCAAATAATTAGAGAAAACATCTTAACTTCCACTCTTTATCTCACGCCATAGCTAGCACATGCACTGCAAGAGAACAATTTGACAAAAATAAGAGAAGATCATACCCAAAAATTTTATTTTGAAACACAAGCATGGTTGGAAAAAACGGAGAAAAATGCAAAAAAAAAGGTGTCCATTTTACTGCTACTTAGTAGTGAGGAAATTGAAAAGTCACAAGAGATATTCATTATCTTAAATAAAAAAAATCAAATCAGAGATTGGATTACTTTGATTATCTGAATTGAACAGCAACTAATCAATTAATTAATTAATTAACGATAGATAAACTGTGGCTCAGTTTTGGAATATAAAGAATATTATATCAAGTGACTTAGAGAAGAGAACGCTCCAGATACAGAAGCACAAAACTTACTGATGGAGGAACTGGTGATGGATTTTGGATGTGAACAAATATATCCCACTGTAACGCAGCGAACCAAGTCAATTGCAACCACATAAGTTAAATTGAAAATTTTAGCGTATAAAGCAGTACAGTTACCTCCTTAAAGATGATAGATTAGTTGCGTCCAAGGGAATAGAAATTTTCAGCCATAAACTCCTCCTCCATTTCATGATCTTTCATAGAAAGAATTCAATAAGCCAAAAAAAAAGAAAAAAGAAGAGTGCACTTTTAACTTCCTCAAACAAAAATAATAAATACAAATTTGTACTATTCAAACTTACATGCATGTGGTAGAACATTCTTCCAATCTTCCAAGTTAGAAGATGTAAATATGTCAAGAGTATGTCGTCCTTCCGGAACCAGCAAAGAATCAAGAGCAATTGGAATGTTCAATGACATACTTTCCCTAGTTTCTGTGGATCTTTTCAATTGTTCGATAAAATCAAGGGAGAGAAAAGTGAGTCTCAGAAATTAAAGACCAAACAATCACATAAATAAATTTGAAAATAATTTTACTTAAACTTATAACTCTACCCTCAATGAGAAGCTTTTACAATCACATAAATAATCTGGGCTCATTTTTGACATTTTTAGGACCACAAATTCCAAAAGTCTTCATTTTTTCTTAAACTCTGTGACAATTAAACATGTTCACATAAATTGGAACGGAAGTAGTATAATATTATTTAGGGAGCGAAATTAGTGGGATACATGAGCACGTGCGAACTAAGAAAAACCTAAGGGGAAGACGTTTTCATGTCATTGTGTCTCTCACCTATGTAACATATGAAGTTGTCGGCAATGCTTCTAACTGTAACTCAGTTTGGGAAATCTTTGAATAGGCAGAAGGCAAGGCAAGTGTATTATTGTCAACTTTTATTCAACAAGTTTTGAGTTTGTTTCTCTAAAATGATGAAGGGCAAACTAGTCATTTCGATAGGCTTTAGATGGCAAAGTAGTAATTTGACATTTTCTGGAATAAGGTTTTCATTTTGATTTGATTCTCATGACTCGAGGGTGTGGAGGTGAAAACTGAAAACCATGCAAAGTTTGGAGTTTGCTATAAAAGTTGGTTTGTTAAGCCAACCTATTCAACTTTCTATGATTCTATGGAGATTTTATTTTTGAGAGGAGTGAGATGATTTGGTGTCACAAGCTGGCCGCTATTGACATAAAATAGTTCTTCCAACTTTCTACTTATTTAATTTAGCTTCTTTGGTTCTGTTTGAGTTTAAAAATAGTTCTATAGATATATGGTGAGATCCACAAAGACCAGAGCAAGGATAGTGGCAGTGTGCGCGATATGACGTGCATTGTTGAGAGACATTAGGGTGACTTTGTGATGATGTCATTGCCCAACATAGGGAAAATAATTACTACTATATGAGAGCTACTTTTTGACCAATGGAATTGCTCCATTTTCACACAATTAGAATAACACCCTTATGGGCCACACAAGCATGTATGTTGATGACACATGCTCCTCAAGTGTGGCTTCTACTATAGGAGAAACATTACGCAAACATAGTAGCTCTGTTTTGGGGTATATAAGGAACGAGTTGGTTCAATTTTTATTAAAATTATATTAATTATATCGGTCTGGATTGATTCAATTTTATCTAAATTTTCGGAATTTTTTATTACATGAATATTATTTCAATATTACTTTATTAAAGTTTTAATAAATAAATATATGTTTAGTAAAAAGTTTAAAAAAACTGACAAACATATGATCTATTAAAATATTCTTATGAGGAATTTTCTTAGTCACACATGATAGTTATTTTTTAGTCGTCTAATAATAATTCTTCGTTGATGTACGCTTTGAAAGTTAATCGAACTTAATAATTGAACATAAAAATCAATATGATACCTACATAATGATATATTTTATTTAGTTTTAAATTATCGAAATACCATTTCAAATTCGAAAAAGATATAAGAATTTAATAGATCTTGACATATGAATATGAAAGAATAAAGAGATTCACGAATTTCAATAACACTTGATAAGAAAGTGATGCTATAACCCATTATTTAAAGTAAATAAAAATGGAGCATTTCACAATCTATTAAATCTTACATCCCGTAAGAGAATCCCAAATATTTCTAGATATTTTCTTAAAAAGAATTCTATATAAAGTCTTAAAAGTATATATAAAAATTATATATTTATATGTCGGTTTGATTCGGATTTGTTTTACTCAACACCAAACCTAATCGGGTTTTTTAATCGGTTTGGATTGACTTTTTGACTTGGTGGTAGTGTCACGACCCAAAATTCAACTAGTCGTGATGGCACCTAACCCAACCCGCTAGGTAAGCCAATTAACAACTATCTAATTCCAATGATATTTAATAAGATAATTAAGTAAATAAATTATCTAAATCTTATACATTTCCCAAGGACTGGTAGTACAAATCATGAACTTCTAAGAATAGAGTTTACAAAGCTGAAATGAAGTAAATACATCATCTGTTTGAAAAATACATTAACAGAGTTATATAGATCTAAGGCTACCATGAACAAGAGGCAGCTACAACCAGGACGCAGGTACATCTTCAAATCTAGCTCCCATCGAATACAGCGACATCAACAGCCAACATCTGCACGCAAGGTGCAGAAGTGTTGTATGAGTACAACCGACCCCATGTACTCGTACTCAATAAGTAACAAACCTAACCTTAGGCTGAAAGTAGTGACGAGCTAATACAAAGGTCCGGTCCAACACCAATATTACACAATAGTTCATAACAACATAGTACAAGTAATAAAAGAGGTATCTCAGAAATAAAATGCCCAGTTCGCTCACAGTCCCAGAAAAATAGGCATTTCTTTTCAAGTATCTCAGTGAAAACTCAAATCTTTTACCGAAAGTGCCAAAATATGAGTAAGTTTGAAAACTGTGATTTTTCCCAAAACTCTTTTCAATAATAAGTAAGATGTTTCATTTTCAGATAGCATGAGGAAAGTACGTCTTTATGCCTACATGTCAAGATACAGGTAAAATCATAAATATCACCAAAACCGGGTAGCAGAAGGAAATGCATCTCTATGCATGTATCTCAACTACGCATGTCAAATGCAATGCATCTCAATGATGTGCTCATGTACTCACACTCTTAGAGTACTCAATCTCACTGTTTCGTATTCCCTTTAACTATGCCCAATGCTCATCACACTCAATCACTCAGCACTGTACAATACTTGCTGCGGCGTGCAACCCGATCCACATATGACCATAAGGCCCGTTGCGGCGTGCAATCCGATCCACATATATAGTCGACTGCGCTCACTAGGGATATACAAACTCCGGAGGGGCTCCTATATCCCAAGCTTTATAATCCGCACGGACAACTCACGTGCCATAATATCAATATCTGGATTCGCACGGACAACTCACGTGTTGCACGGACAACTTACATGCTATAGTATCAATATCTGGATCCGCACGGATAACTCACACGTTATAGTATCAATATCCTCACAAACAGGCCCCGGCCTCACTCAGTCATCAATCTCTCCAATCTCACTCACGGGCTCATAATATCATGAAACTAGCCTGACAATAATGATATGATGTATCAATAAATAACAATTGAGACTGAGATATGATATGAATGAATGAATATGATTGAGTACGAAATACCAATGAAATCAGTGAAATGACAGAAAAAAACGACCAATATGGGTCCTAGCAGTATCATCATAAAGCCTAAACATGATATCTAGCATGATTGACAGCTCAATTACTTTATCACATGGTGAAAACACGAACATCAACAAAGTAGGACCACTATACAGTGCCATGGAAACAATAGAGTCCCAATTCACATGGTGCACACCCACACACCCGTCACCTAGCATGTGCGTCACCTCAATACCAATCACATAACACGTATTTCGGGGTTTCATACCCTCAGCACTAAGTTTAGAAGAGTTAATTATCTCGAACAATCCAATACCAATGCCGAGCAAGCCAAGCGATGCTCCAAAGATGCCATCGTGCGCGTTCCGACCTCCAAACGGCTCAAAACTAACCAAAAACGACTCAAGTACATCAAATAATGCTAAAGGAACCAATCCCAATGACCAAAATCGGACAAAATCAAAAGCCCAAAATCGGCCAAAATCCCAACCGGAACCCGACAAAATTTACAAAATCCAATGACCTATTTAATTACGAGTTCAACCATACTAGTTTCACTCAAATTCGACTCCAATTCGATGTTCAAAATTCAAAAACACACATTATGAAACTTTAATCCAAAACCCCAATTTTCTCTTTAAAATTCACAATCCAATTACCAAAAATGAAGATAGATTAATGAAATATAACCAAAACTGAGTAGAGAACACTTACCCCAATTCATATGGTGAAAATTGCTTCAAGAATCACCTCAAATCGAGCTCCATAGCTCCCAAAATGAAGAAAGAACAAAAACCCTTGATAATATAGCTTATGCCCAGCGATTCCGCATTTGCGGACAATTCGTCGCATCTGCGACCACCACTTTTGCTGTAAAACTTCGCTTCTGTGAAAACAGACTGACCCAGCAATCCCTCGCACATGCGGTCTTTAAGCCGCTTCTGCGATCGCACTTCTGCACACTTGAACCGCATATGCGGTTGCGCAGGTGCGTCCAAGCACCCGCACCTGCGATCCTTACGCCCAGCTCCCCTTCATGCTTCTGCGACTCCTCTGTCGCTTATGCGACCATCGCACCTGCGCAAACCAGCCGCCGGTGCGATCACACCAGAACCAGCAGCTTAGAAAAAAATCCAAAAATACAATAAAATAATCCGAACCTCGTCCGAAACTCACCCGAGCCCCTCGGGACCCCATTCGAACAAGCCAACAAGTTCCATAACATAATACGGACCTACTCGAGGCATCAAAACACACATAACAACATCAAAACGACGAATCACACCTCAACTCGAAATTAATGAACTTTAAAACTTCAAACTTCCACAACCGATGCCGAAACCTATCAAATCACATCCGATTGACCTCAAATTTTGCACACAGGCCACATTCGACATAACGGACCTACTCCACCTTCCAGAATCGGAATCCGCCTCCGATATCAAAAAGTTCACTCCCTGTCAAACTTTCCAAAATTTCAACTTGCGCCATTTCGAGCCAAATTCAACCACGTACCTCCAAATCATAATCCAGACGCGCTCCTAAGTCCAAAATCACCCAACAAAGCTAACAGAACCATCAGAATTCTAATCCGAGGTCAAATGCTATAAAGTCAAACTTGGTCAACTCTTTCAAATTTAAAGCTCCTAAGTTGAGAATCATTCTTCCAAATCAGTCCCAATAACCTGAAAACCAAAACCGATAATTCACACAAGTCAAAATACATCATACGGAGCTACTCACGCCTGTAAACTACCGAACGAAGTGCAAATGCTCAAAACGACCGGTCGGGTCGTTACATCCTCCCCCACTTAAACATATGTTCGTCCTCAAACGTGTCCAGAGTTATTCTCAAAGCCATCAAACCAACGTATAACATTACCATGCACATACCCGAGGGTAATCCCACATCACCCTATCCCATACAGGTCCAATAACACAACATAACTGAAATTTCTTAATTCAACCTAGCCCACAAGCCTTAGAATCCAATTTCCAACATCCGAAATTTATTATAAGATCTGAATCTTGCAACCTACACCCTGTATAATACTGAACAAGCTGTACCAAGCCGCAACCATAACCCAATATTCAATCGCATGATATATCACATAACATAGATACTTGTAGCAATGATTTCTAATCACAGTAGCTGCTCAAAATAATCCAATGCCGGTAATAAACCTCATATCAAACAAGACTCCATTCTAAAACCTTCGTACACTGCCAATGATGAAAGAAACACACAGAACTCATAACCATTCATCAGATCAACCAGTCATGAAACTCCCTCTCATTCGATAAGAATTATAGCAAATTTCTAAGCCGACTTTCGATATTATCCTTCCAACCATGTTGTAATCAATTTCAATAGTATCAATTCTAGGTCTAATGATCTCATCTCATCCAACACGACCACTCTAGTGACCACACCCATACAATCTAAATCCATAACCCGTGCAATCCGTGCACCAATAA